TCACAACTGTACTGCAAGTATTGTAGACTCTATGGACATACCATAGACAAGTGTGGTAAGTCTCAATACAAGGGAACCACTGACCAACAAAGACCCAAACCAACTCCTCCTAAGTCCGGTAAGCATGTGATGAATGTTGGTGTTGATGTTAATGATCTTTCTCTTTTCAGTAACCATCTGTATACTGGAACTGTCTCTGCCAACGGTTCAAATCCGGAGGGACGTTTCAAATTGAAGATCTTGAGGGACACAGCGGCTCTACAATCGATCATCTTGAAGTCGGCTGTGCCCAACATCGTCTACACCGGAGAAACTGTCTTCATCACTGACCTCACTGCTACCACTCCATACCCTCTCGCCAGAGTCCACCTGGATTGTCCCTACGTGAACGGGGAAGTCCAAGTCGCCGTCAGGGAAAAGCCTTTTCCCATGCCTGGAGTGCAACTTCTCCTAGGCAACGACTTGGCAGAAGACCTGCAACCGACCAACCTGATCGTCATGGACAAACCCCAGGTGTGTAACTCTGTGCCAATAAACCCTATTCTAGAGTATGTTCCAGCAGAGGTTCAAGAGAGTGATGAAGTTTCTCCTCCGGTTCTCGTGACCACCCGTGCACAAGCCGCACGTCCACAGCCAGCTGACTCTACTGCTACCGCTGTCCCTCAAGACCCTCAGAAACTACCCCCGCATCTGACCAAGTTGGAGTTCCGTAAGTTGCAGAGGGAAGATCTTACTTTAACACCATTGTTTTTCCAGGCTGAGACTCAACCCGACAGTATTCCTGGGTTCTTCCTAGAGAACGACTTGCTCTACCGCAGATATAGACCCAGTAAACTGAAGGAGGAGGACGATTGGGCCAATATCGAACAACTTGTGATTCCCACCAGCCTGCGGCCCACTATTCTACACCTGGCCCACGGAGCATTCTCCCACTACGGCTTCAACAAGACTTACCATGGGATTCGTCAAGACTACTACTGGCCAGGTATGGTAAATAACGTCAAACAGTACGTAAAACAGTGTCATACATGTCAGATGGCAGGCAAACCGAACATCTCCATTCCCAGAGCACCACTGATTCCCATACAGGTGCCTGCGGAACCTTTCCACAGACTCATAATAGACTGTGTTGGTCCTTTACCTCGGACCAGTTCAGGTAACGCCTACATCCTAACCATCCTGTGTCCTACCACCAGATTTCCCATAGCAGTTCCAGTGAAGAACATCACGGCTGCTACGGTTATAAAACATCTATTGAAGATCTTCACTCAATACGGATTTCCCAGGGAGATTCAAAGTGACTGTGGTACCAACTTCACCAGTGATCTCTTCAAAAGGACACTGGAGGAGTTCAACATCAAACAGGTATTGTCCAGCCCCTATCATCCTGCTTCACAGGGTTCTCTTGAACGTAGTCATCAGACCATCAAAGCACTCTTGAAAATGTTTTGTAGTGAAACCTCGAAGGATTGGGATAAGCAGATTGACCTTATAATGTGTATTTTCAGAATTCTCCCCAATGAGTCCCTAGGAGTATCTCCTTATGAGATGCTCTACGGCCGTAAGTGCCGTACTCCCCTTAAGGCTTTCAAAGACTCTCTCAGAGATGCCACCTTCAGTGAGCATCAGAATGTGCCCCAGTTTCTTCAAAACCTTCAACACATTCTAGAGAGAGTCCACCGCTTTGCCCATGATAATCTATTGAAAGCCCAGGTGAGAATGAAGACTCATTACGACCAGACCAGCAAAGTAAGAAAATTCAAGCCGGGAGACTTCGTCCTTGCCTATTTCCCTATCCCAGGTTCACCTTTACAAAACAGGTTTTCAGGACCCTACTGCGTCAAAGAGTGCAGGAATAATAACAACTACGTAATAGAGACTCCAGATAGGCGGCGGAAGACCCAGCTGTGCCACGTCAACCTCCTGAAGCAATATAATGGTACTCCTCCCACTGTCCTGACTAACTATTCTACTTTCACAGAACCCTACATCCACAGTGAGACCTTCCCGGCTTCTCCTCCCGAAAGCACTGACAAGGAGTCAGCGCTTTCTAATTCCGAAATCCTTAATGATCTTCCCAAATACTTTCAGGATAATCATAGTGCACCTCTCGTCAAGATCTTCAGAGGGTGTATGGCAGAGGGTGCCACATCAAGAGTTGTTCCGAGATGATCCCCAAGAGTGTAATGTTACCCAGCACGACATCCAACTGCTCCCCGACACCCGGCCGATTCGTCAACCCTTCTACCGAATCAGCCCGAGCAAGAAGGAAGTCATGCGTGCTGAGGTGCAATACCTCTTGGATCATGGACTGGCTACACCTTGTGAGTCCCCCTGGGCCTCACCTTGTATCTTGGTGCCCAAACCCCAAGGTAAGGTGCGGTTATGCCACACACCCTCTGTCACACACCCTCTGCCACACACCCTCTGCCACACACCCTCTGCCCCACACCTTCTGCCACACACACTCTGCCACACACCTACCCCACGCCCTCTGCCACACACCCTCTGCCACACACCCTCTGCCACACACCCTCTGCCACACACACCCCATGCCACACACTCTCTGCCACACACCCTCTGCCACACACACCCTCTGTCACACACCCTCTGCCACACACCCTCTGCCACACACCCTCTGCCACACACTCTCTGCCACACACCCTCTGCCACACACCCTCTGCCACACACCCCCTGTCACACACCCTCTGCCACACACCCTCTGCCACACACCCTCTGCCACACACACACTCTGCCACACACCCTCTGCCACACACCCTCAGCCACACACCCTCTGCAACACACCCTCTGCCACACACCCTCTGTCACACACCCTCTGCCACACACCCTCTGCCACACACACCCTCTGCCACACACCCTCTGCCACACACCCTCTGCCATACACCCTCTGTCACACACACTCTGCCACACACCCTCTGCCACACACCCTCTGTCACACACACTCTGCCACACACACTCTGCCACACACCCTCTGCCACACACCCTCTGCCACACACCCTCTGCCACACAACCTCTGCCACACACCCTCTGCCACACACCCTCTGCCACACACCCCCTTTCACACACCCTCTGCCACACACCCTCTGCCACACACCCTCTGCCACACACACACTCTGCCACACACCCTTTGCCACACACCCTCTGCCACACACCCTCTGCCACACACCCTCTGTCACACACACTCTGCCACACACCCTCTGCCACACACCCTCTGCCACACACTTTCTGCCACACACCCTCTGCCACACACCCTCTGCCACACACCCTCTGCCACACACACCCTCTGCCACACACCCTCTGCCACACACACTCTGCCACACACCCCTCTGCCACACACCCTCTGCCACACACCCTCTTCCACACACCCTCTGCCACACACCCTCTGCCACACGCCCTCTGCCACACACCCTCTGCCACACACACCCTCTGCCACACACCCTCTGCCACACACCCTCTGCCACACACCCCTCTGCCACACACACCCTCTGCCACACACCCTCTGCCACACACCCTCTGCCACACACCCCTCTGCCACACACCCTCTGCCACACACCCTCTTCCACACACCCTCTGCCACACACCCTCTGTCACACGCCCTCTGCCACACACCCTCTTCCACACACCCTCTTCCACACACCCTCTTCCACACACCCTCTGCCACACACCCTCTGCCACACACACCCTCTGCCACACACCCTCTGCCAGACACCCTCTGCCACACACCCTCTGTCACACACACTCTGCCACACACCCTCTGCCACACACCCTCTGCCACACACCCTCTGCCACACACACCCTCTGCCACACACCCTCTGCCACACACCCCTCTGCCACACACCCTCTGCCACACACCCTCTGCCACACACCCTCTGCCACACACCCTCTGCCACACACCCTCTGCCACACACACCCTCTGCCACACACCCTCTGCCACACACACCCTCTGCCACACACACACCCTGCCACACACACCCTCTGCCACACACCCTCTGCCACACACCTCCCCCACACACCCTCGCCTGCCAGCCGGCGGGACTGACCGTGTTAAAGCAGCCTTGGGTCCTCCAAGCGTCCAGAACCACCTGAATGTAGTCGACATTAAGGAACCTGTAGTGGAGCTCCGCCATCTCCTGCAGTGCTGTTGGGCAGCTTGATCTGTGGGAGTGGGAGCAAATGTTAGTGTGTTATGTGATGAGCAGGTAGGTCAGTGTGTGTTATGTGATGAGCAGGTAGGTCAGTGTGTGTTATGTGATGAGCAGGTAGGTCAGTGTGTATTATGTGATGAGCAGGTAGGTCAGTGTGTGTTATGTGATGAGCAGGTAGGTCAGTTTGTGATGTGATGAGCAGGTAGGGTTAGTGTGTTATGTGATGAGCAGGTAGGTCAGTGTGTGTTATGTGATGAGCAGGTAGGTCAGTGTGTGTTATGTGATGAGCAGGTAGGTCAGTGTGTTATGTGATGAGCAGGTAGGTCAGTGTGTGTGATGTGGTGAGCAGGTAGGTCAGTGTGTGTTATGTGATGAGCAGGTATGTCAGTGTGTTATGTGATGAGCAGGTAGGTCAGTGTGTGTTATGTGATGAGCAGGTAGGTCAGTGTGTTATGTGATGAGCAGGTAGGTCAGTGTGTGTTATGTGATGAGCAGGTAGGTCAGTGTGTTATGTGATGAGCAGGTAGGGTTTGTGTGTTATGTGATGACCAGGTAGGTCAGTGTGTGATATGTGATGAGCAGGTGGGGTTTGTGTGTTATGTGATGACCAGGTAGGTTAGTGTGTGTTATGTGATGATCAGGTAGGTCAGTGTGTGATGTGATGAGCAGGTAGGGTTAGTGTGTGTTATGTGATGAGCAGGTAGGGTTAGTGTGCTATGTGATGAGCAGGTAGGGTAGTGTGTTATGTGATGACCAGGTAGGTCAGTGTGTTATGTGGTGAGCAGGTAGGGTTTGTGTGTTATGTGATGAGCAGGTAGGTCAGTGTGTGTTATGTGATGAGCAGGTAGGGTTTGTGTGTTATGTGATGACCAGGTAGGTCTGTGTGTGTTATGTGATGAGCAGGTAGGTCAGTGTGTGTTATTTGATGAGCAGGTAGGGTTTGTGTGTTATGTGATGACCGGGTAGGTCAGTGTGTGTTATGTGATGAGCAGGTAGGTCAGTGTGTGTTATGTGATAAGCAGGTAGGTCAGTGTGTGTTATGTGATGAGCAGGTAGGTCAGTGTGTGTTATGTGATGAGCAGGTAGGTCAGTGTGTGTTATGTGATGAGCAGGTAGGTCAGTGTGTGTTATGTGATGAGCAGGTAGGTCAGTGTGTTATGTGATGAGCAGGTAGGTCAGTGTGTGTGATGTGGTGAGCAGGTAGGTCAGTGTGTGTTATGTGATGAGCAGGTATGTCAGTGTGTGTTATGTGATGAGCAGGTAGGTCAGTGTGTTATGTGATGAGCAGGTAGGTCAGTGTGTGTTATGTGATGAACAGGTAGGTCAGTGTGTTATGTGATGAGCAGGTAGGTCAGTGTGTATTATGTGATGAGCAGGTAGGGTTAGTGTGTTATGTGATGAGCAGGTAGGTCAGTGTGTGTTATGTGATGAGCAGGTAGGTCAGTGTGTTATGTGATAAGCAGGTAGGGTTAGTGTGTGTTATGTGATGAGCAGGTAGGGCAGTGTGTTATGTGATGACCAGGTAGGTCAGTGTGTTATGTGATGAGCAGGTAGGTCAGTGTGTGTTATGTGATGAGCAGGTAGGGTTTGTGTGTTATGTGATGACCAGGTAGGTCAGTGTGTGTTATGTGATGAGCAGGTAGGTCAGTGTGTGTAATGTAATAAGCAGGTAGGTCAGTGTGTGTTATGTGATGAGCAGGTAGGTCAGTATGTTATGTGATGAGCAGGTAGGTCAGTGTGTGTTATGTGATGAGCAGGTAGGTCAGTGTGTTATGTGATGAGCAGGTAGATCAGAGTGTATTATTGTTACGGACCCGAGCCCAGCGTCCGAGCACGGAGCAGTGACGACCGCGCCATCTGTGGGTCAGCTCCCGAAACCCCCTCCAAATGGACGATGCCACCTAGTGAGGACGAGATATACTGGCCACAAGGGCTAGTTTCCCGTCCTGATCAGCTCATAACACAGCCGGTGCTGACCTCTGGTGAGGTGGAGCTTAGACAGCAACGCCATCTATGGAGTGGATACGTTGGGCGTTTGTGTCTAAGCCTGTAAGTGAGGTGCCCTAGAGTGTCCCTGTTACTGATGACGTGTCTGATTACAGAGTCGACCTGGGACTGCTGTAATGGAAGTTGGATTAGTCTACCCAAGGCAGCCGTCTTGTCTCCAAGTATTTGCTGCAGCAGCTGTGAGTCACCCCCCGGATGAACACTGTGGTGTTAGCCTGCCTGTGACGAGGCAGTTGAGGGATTGTCGTACCCGGGACTGACTGGTGGAGACGCTTAACCACTGGGGTCTTGTAGTGAGGAGAGTGACCTGTGGGATCACACGAGGCTCCTGACTAGGGCTCGCGACCTTAGTATCGATCGTGGAGTGGCCTAACCAGCGTTGCTGATTGGAACCTGCCAGCTACAGGCAGGCTGGATTTGTGGTTGAAGGCCTCCACGACGGTGCCCCCAGTGGAACTGTGATTTGGCTGGCCTGTGGCCAGAGTAGACTCAAGAGAATCGAAGGATTCGTCGTGAGGCCACCAGAGGACTAAGACCTTAGCATCGTCGAGCACCGTGGAACACTCCGCGTCTTCAGGAGAAGACTACGTTGTACATAATAGTGTTTAACCCCCCCCCCCTGTGTAACCTTTTATATATTATTTATGGTGACGGTAATAATTATATTATTAAGTTTTTGCCTTTATTTCCCTTCCCCTTTAATTTACTTGCGTTACGGATCACATCCCTTGAAAGCCACTATTAGCTTGGGGCCGGATACACTACCTCTAACAACATCAGAGAAAGAACCCGGTTGCGACCCGAGAGGGCCGTAACAATTATGTGATGAGCAGGTAGGGTTAGTGTCTTATGTGATGAGCAGGTAGGTCAGTGTGTGTTATGTGATGAGCAGGTAGGGTTAGTGTGTTATGTGATGAGCAGGTAGGTCAGTGTGTGTTATGTGATGAGCAGGTAGGGTTAGTGTGTTATGTGATGAGCAGGTAGGTCAGTGTGTGTTATGTGATGAGCAGGTAGGTCAGTGTGTGTTATGTGATGAGCAGGTAGGTCAGTTTGTGATGTGATGAGCAGGTAGGTCAGTGTGTGTTATGTGATGAGCAGGTAGGTCAGTGTGTGTGTTATGTGATGAGCAGGTAGGTCAGTGTGTGTTATGTGATGAGCAGGTAAGTCAGTGTGTATTATGTGATGAGCAGGTAGGTCAGTGTGTGTTATGTGATGAGCAGGTAGGTCAGATTGTGATGTGATGAGCAGGTAGGGTTAGTGTGTTATGTGATGAGCAGATAGGTCAGTGTGTGTTATGTGATGAGCAGGTAGGTCAGTGTGTGTTATGTGATGAGCAGGTAGGCCAGTGTGTTATGTGATGAGCAGGTAGGTCAGTGTGTGTGATGTGGTGATCAGGTAGGTCAGTGTGTGTTATGTGATGAGCAGGTATGTCAGTGTGTTATGTGATGAGCAGGTAGGTCAGTGTGTGTTATGTGATGAGCAGGTAGGTCAGTGTGTTATGTGATGAGCAGGTAGGTCAGTGTGTGTTATGTGATGAGCAGGTAGGTCAGTGTGTTATGTGATGAGCAGGTAGGTCAGTGTGTATTATGTGATGACCAGGTAGAGTTAGTGTGTTATGTGATGACCAGGTAGGTTAGTGTGTGTTATGTGATGAGCAGGTAGGTCAGTGTGATGTGATGAGCAGGTAGGGTTAGTGTGTGTTATGTGATGAGCAGGCAGAGTAGTGTGTTATGTGATGACCAGGTAGGTCAGTGTGTTATGTGATGAGCAGGTAGGGTTTGTGTGTTATGTGATGACCAGGTAGGTCAGTGTGTGTTATGTGATGAGCAGGTAGCCCAGTGTGTGTTATGTGATGAACAGGTAGGTCAGTGTGTTATGTGATGAGCAGGTAGGTCAGTGTGTATTATGTGATGAGCAGGTAGGGTTAGTGTGTTATGTGATGAGCAGATAGGGCAGTGTGTTATGTGATGACCAGGTAGGTCAGTATGTGTTATGTGATGAGCAGGTAGGTCAGTGTGTGTTATGTGATAAGCAGGTAGGTCAGTTTGTGTTATGTGATGAGCAGGTAGGTCAGTGTGTTATGTGATGAGCAGGTAGGTCAGTGTGTATTATGTGATGAGCAGGTAGGGTTAGTGTGTTATGTGTTGAGCAGGTAGGTCAGTGTGTGTTATGTGATGAGCAGGTAGGTCAGTGTGTTATGTGATGAGCAGGTAGGGTTAGTGTGTGTTATGTGATGAGCAGGTAGGGTTAGTGTGTTATGTGATGAACAGATAGGGCAGTGTGTTATGTGATGACCAGGTAGGTCAGTGTGTTATGTGATGAGCAGGTAGGTCAGTGTGTGTTATGTGATGAGCAGGTAGGGTTTGTGTGTTATGTGATGACCAGGTAGGTCAGTGTGTTATGTGATGAGCAGGTAGGTCAGTGTGTGTTATGTGATGAGCAGGTAGGTCAGTGTGTTATGTGATGAGCAGGTAGGTCAGTGTGTATTATGTGATGAGCAGGTAGGGTTAGTGTGTTATGTGATGAGCAGATAGGGCAGTGTGTTATGTGATGACCAGGTAGGTCAGTATGTGTTATGTGATGAGCAGGTAGGTCAGTGTGTGTTATGTGATAAGCAGGTAGGTCAGTGTGTGTTATATGATGAGCAGGTAGGTCAGTGTGTTATGTGATGAGCAGGTAGGTCAGTGTGTGTTATGTGATGAGCAGGTAGGTCAGTGTGTTATATGATGAGCAGGTAGGTCAGTGTGTATTATGTGATGAGCAGGTAGGGTTAGTGTGTTATGTGATGAGCAGGTAGGTCAGTGTGTGTTATGTGATGAGCAGGTAGGGTTAGTGTGTTATGTGATGAGCAGGTAGGTCAGTGTGTGTTATGTGATGAGCAGGTAGGTCAGTGTGTTATGTGATGACCAGGTAGGTCAGTGTGTTATGTGATGAGCAGGTAGGTCAGTGTGTGTTATGTGATGAGCAGGTAGGTCAGTGTGTGTTATGTGATGAGCAAGTAGGTCAGTGTGTGTTATGTGATGAGCAGGTAGGTCAGTGTGTTATGTGATGACCAGGTAGGTCAGTGTGTTATGTGATGAGCAGGTAGGTCAGTGTGTTGTGTGATGAGCAGGTAGGTTAGTGTGTGTTATGTGATGAGCAGGTAGGTCAGTGTGTGTTATGTGATGAGCAGGTAGGTCAGTGTGTGTCATGTGATGAGCAGGTAGAGTTAGTGTGTTATGTGATGAGCAGGTAGGTCAGTGTGTGTTATGTGATGACCAGGTAGGTCAGTGTGTGTTATGTGATGAGCAGGTAGAGTTAGTGTGTTATGTGATGAGCAGGTAGGTCAGTGTGTGTTATGTGATGAACAGGTAGGTCAGTGTGTGTTATGTGATGAACAGGTAGGTCAGTGTGTTATGTGATGAGCAGGTAGGTCATCACCAGGACTGACCTGGGGACATGTTTAGTGCAGCGGTAGTTACTGGTCATCACCATGACTGACCTGGGGACATGTTTGGTGCAGCAGTAGTTACTGGACATCACCATGACTGACCTGGGGACATGTTTAGTGCAGCGGTAGTTACTGGTCATCACCAGGACTGACCTGGGGACATGTTTGGTGCAGCAGTAGTTACTGGTCATCACCATGACTGACCTGGGGACATGTTTAGTGCAGCAGTAGTTACTGGTCATCACCAGGACTGACCTGGGGACACGTTAAGTGCAGCAGTAGTTACTGGTCATCACCATGACTGACCTGGGGACATGTTTAGTGCAGCTGTAGTTACTGGTCATCACCATGACTGACCTGGGGACATGTTTAGTGCAGCAGTAGTTACTGGTCATCACCATGACTGACCTGGGGACACGTTAAGTGCAGCTGTAGTTACTGGTCATCAACTAACCTGGGGGGGTTGTTCGCGCAAGTCTCACCACCCATGGAGAGGTACAGTGTTTCATTCTTCAGGTATGGGTACGCCATCGCCTTGTTAACGTACGTGCCGAAATCCGTGTCTGAGGCGAGGAAGCAGTCGTTATGTTGGCCGATCCTCGCTACCTGCCCCCCACAACGGTACATTGATCAGTTCTTCATGCACTCACTCATCGTAGAATATATTATATATTTATATAATAACAAGTAACAATATTGTTTTATGATAAAATTTCTGAAGTTCTGCCTATCAATGTGTGAGATAGTTGTAGTTGTCTGACCTAGTGATTGTTGTCTGAACTAGTGTTTATTGTCTAAACTAGTGATTGATGTCTGCACTAGCGAATGTTGTCTGCAATCGTGATTGTTAGCTGCACAAGTGATTGTTTTCTGCACTAGAGATTGTTGTCTGCACTAGTGATGGTGTGGTTGTCTGCACTAGTGATTGTGTGGTTGTCTACACTAGTGATTGTGTGGTTATCTACACTAGTGATGGATGCTGATGTCTGCATTCTATTGGATGACTGTTAGGTATGTTCTTCAAGCAGGAGGAGTGGGTGACTATTATGGGTATTCTACAAGCAGGACGAGTGGGTGACTGTTAGGTGTGTTCTACAAGCAGGACGAGTGGGTGACTGTTGGGTGTGTTCTACAAGCAGGACGAGTGGGTGACTGTTGGGTGTGTTCTACAAGCAGGACGAGTGGGTGACTGTTGGGTGTGTTCTACAAGCAAGACGAGTGGGTGACTGTTGGGTGTGTTCTACAAGCAGGACGAGTGGGTGACTGTTGGGTGTGTTCTACAAGCAGGACGAGTGGGTGACTGTTGGGTGTGTTCTACAAGCAAGACGAGTGGGTGACTGTTGGGTGTGTTCTACAAGCAGGACGAGTGGGTGACTGTTGGGTGTGTTCTACAAGCAGGACGAGTGGGTGACTGTTGGGTGTGTTCTACAAGCAGGACGAGTGGGTGACTATTGGATGTGTTCTACAAGCAAGACGAGTGGGTGACTGTTAGGTGTGTTCTATAAGCAGGACGAGTGGGTGACTGTTGGGTGTGTTCTACAAGCAGGACGAGTGGGTGACTATTAGGTGTGTTCTACAAGCAGGACGAGTGGGTGACTGTTAGGTGTGTTCTACAAGCAGGACGAGTGGGTGACTGTTAGGTGTGTTCTACAAGCAGGACGAGTGGGTGACTGTTAGGTGTGTTCTACAAGCAGGACGAGTGGGTGACTATTAGGGGTGTTCTACAAGCAGGACGAGTGGGTGACTGTTAGGTGTGTGCTTCAAGCAGGACGAGTGGGTGACTGTTGGGTGTGTTCTACAAGCAGGACGAGTGGGTGACTATTAGGTGTGTTCTACAAGCAAGACGAGTGGGTGACTGACTAGAGTGTTGGTGAAAGCTTCACTCGAGATGATGGGTGAGGTTCGCTCGAGAATCTTCTGCTTGTAGTATGGAGTCCGCAGTTGGATTTGCCTGCAAGTAGATATGGAAATAATATTTGAAGGTTTTTCTATAATATTTAATGTAAAACAGTTTACGTTAATAATTTTTTTAAATAATAAAAAGCTCATAGAATGAAAAAATAATTTGAGATTTAAAATTAAATTTTAAAAACATTTTACTAATTAACCAAACTAGTATGACACTCCTGGCACTGTCCCCCAGTAGCATCCACAACACCATAACAATGGATAAATCTTGTTCAAAGACTTGATAACTCTGCAGATAAACACAGTCGGATGGTAGACTTCACTGAACCCGACGTATCCCTGGTAAGTATAAGTAATTATCAAAGACAGTCCCAAGCCGCGAGGAAGAAGATATACCACCGCTCTCTTACGTAGCAACAGACAAACGTTAAAAGAAACATATCCAGAATTCTGAGTCCAAATCTTAAGCGGGACAGAAATGTTTTGGCGCGTTTCGTATCACCTAATGCATCTGTTCACCATGAAATAAATTGGTACACAGAAGTTTTACCATACCTGCTACACAATTACCATACCTGCTACACCTCTATCTGTGTATATATCTCCATTAACATACCTGCTACACCTCTATCTGGGTATATTTCTCCATTACCATACCTGCTACACCTCTACATTTGTATATATCTCCATTACCATACCTGCTACACCTCTACCTGTATATATATCTCCATTAACATACCTGCTACACCTCTACCTGGGTATATATCTCCATTACCATACCTGCTACATCTCTACCTGTGTATATATCTCCATTACCATACCTGCTACACCTCTACCTGTATACATATCTCCATTAACGTCTCTCTCTCTCTTAGAGGTTATGGATCTCTTGAAGCTCTTCTGCTTCCGGACAGTAACCGAGGACGCAGCAGGCGTTTCCCGTCTAGATTAATTTGACAGTTGAGAGGCGAGCCGAAAGAGCAGAGCTCAACCCCCGCAAGCACAATTAGGTGAATACATAAACACACACACACACACACACACACACACACACACACACACACACACACACACACACACACACACACACACACACACACAGAGTGGTTGACAAATAGAATGCATTAGGGAGTGATGTGGTGGAGGCTGACTCCATACACAGTTTCAAGTGTAGATATGATAGAGCCCAATAGGCTCAGGAACCTGTACACCTGTTGATTGACGGTTGAGAGGCGGGACCAAAGAGCTAAAGCTAAACCCCCACAAGCCCAGCTAGGTGAGTACACACACACACACAAGTGCAGGGAGAGAGGAGTAAACCAGGAAATCGCATCCCCCAACACAACAGTCCCAGGTATAAGTGGGGAACCCACAACCAGCATCCCAGCAACACCAGAAGGGAGATCAACACCACCACTCCCCTCTGCATAGAAATCCTCCCTTCCCCTCACCCTACCTGCCCCCACCCAAATGCTCACCCAACCCTCCCTCCCCCCACCCCATTCTGACCCTATAACCCTTCCCCCATTCCCAAAGCCTAGTTTTCATGAATTAATGTTTTTTCGACTACCTAACCTACCTAACCTAACCTAACCTAACTTTTTCGGCTACCTAACCTAACCTAACCTATAATGATAGGTTAGGTTAGGTTAGGTTCGGTCATATATCTACGTTAATTTTAACTCCAATAAAAAAAAATTGACCTCATACATAATGAAATGGGTAGCTTTATCATTTCATAAGAAAAAAATTTGAGAAAATATATTAATTCAGTAAAACTTGGCTTATTAGGCAAATCGGGCCTTGCATAGTAGGCTGAGAAGTGAGTTCTGGCTACTAGGTACGACATATATATATATATATATATATATATATATATATATATATATATATATATATATATATATATATATATATATATATATATATATATATATATATATATATATATATATATATATATATATATATATATATATATATATATATCGTATATATAGCCAGAATATACTATATATATAGCCTATATATATATATATATATATATATATATATATATATATATATATATATATGTCGTACCTAATAGCCAGAACGCACTTCTCAGCCTACTATGCAAGGCCCGATTTGCCTATTAAGCCAAGTTTTCATGAATTAATTGTTTTTCGACTACCTAACCTAACCTTACTTTTTCTGCTACCTAACCTAACCTAACCTATCTTTATAGGTTAGGTTAGGTTAGGTAGGGTTGGTTAGGTTCGGTCATATATCTACGTTAATTTTAACTCCAATAAAAAAAATTGACCTCATACATAATGTATATATATATATATATATATATATATATATATATATATATATATATATATATATATATATATATATATATATATATATATATATATGTCGTACCTAGTAGCCAGAACTCACTTCTCAGCCTACTATGCAAGGCCTGATTTGCCTAATAAGCCTAGTTTTCATGAATTAATGTTTTTTCGACAACCTAACCTACCTAACCTAACCTAACCTAACGTTTTCGGCTACCTAACCTAACCTAACCTATAAAGATAGGTTAGGTTAGGTTAGGTAGGGTTGGTTAGGTTCGGTCAAATATCTACGTTAATTTTAACTCCAATAAAAAAAAATTGACCTCATACATAATGAAATGGGTAGCTTTATCATTTCATAAGAAAAAAATTAGAGAAAATATATTAATTCAGTAAAACTTGGCTTGTTAGGCAAATCGGGCCTCGCATAGTAGGCTGAGAAGTGAGTTCTGGCTACTAGGTACGACATATATATATATATATATATATATATATATATATATATATATATATATATATATATATATATATATATATATATATATATATATATATATATATATATATATATATATATATATATATATATATATATAATCTTTGGACAACACCCACCAGTGGGACTCGAACCCAGAAAGCACAACTACCTTCCAGTAGCAGGCATAACTAGTATGCTTTAACCCACTACACCATCAGACCTTAGGCTTATAAGCTGGACACGAGTTCTCTCACATTGACAGTGGCTTGATGGAAAATGCAGACTGACCCCACACTCATCTGGTGCCTTCGGGAAGTGGAGATGTTTGAGATATATATCTCGAACTATCTACTTCTTTTGAAAGGTCTGATGGTGTAGTGGGTTAAAGCATACTAGTTATGCCTGCTACTGGAAGGTAGTTGTGCTTTCTGGGTTCGAGTCCCACTGGTGGGTGTTGTCCAAAGATTATTTAATCTTCACTTGTGGTTTATATAGGCAATATATAGGCTATATATATATATATATATATATATATATATATATATATATATATATATATATATATATATATATATATATATATATATATATATATATATATATATATATATATATATATATATATATATATATATATATATATATATATATATATATATATATTTATATATATATATAAAACCAAATAACTCTTCCTCATGAGGGATTCGAATCTTAGATAGCCTGATGCATCAAGCACGCTAGCATATCTAGTACAGTAATCACTTGACGGTGACAGACTGTACAAAAATGTTGGAAGATGTGAGACTTACCGAACATCCGACAGTCTCGCCATAGCTAGAGATCACTGATCGTTTTCATCAAATCAGTCACTACTGAAGAACACGCGAGCCTCAAATGTTCAGCACACTTTCTTAAACCACAAGTTATATGTAATCAAAGAACTTTTTTTTTTTTAGATATATACGAGTTGTTACATTCTTGTACAGCCACTAGTACGCGTAGCGTTTCGGGCAGGTCCCTGGAATACGATCCCCGCCGCGAAGAATCGTTTTTACAACCAAGTACTCATTTTACTGTTGAGTTAAACAGAGGATACAGTTAAGGATTTACGTGCAGTAAATCCTCCCCGACCAGGATACGAACCCATGACAAAGCACTCGCGGAACGTCTTACCACTACACCACGGAGACTGGTGTAGCCTTCTTCATGAAGGATTAAAACCTTTGATAGCCTGGTGCATCAAACACATGGTCAAAATGGTCAGTTTAAAGTGTCGTGTCCTAACCTTCCAGAGGACCGAACATAGAAAACGGGACTGTACGTCACTTTGAGAGCCGCTTCCATTTTCTAGTACGATATTTTTTTGGCCCACATAAATAGCTCTGGGAAATAAATTGCGATGAAGACAAAATATCTTCAAGACTGTAGAGTGGCAGATAGAGTTTAATGCTGAAAGTGTTGGGTTTTGAGCTACGCACAAAATTCTTGAAGTCGTGAAGTCTGAACTCGAGATAAGTAGGAATCTAATTCAAAAAAATGAAAGCATAAATATACTGATTAAAGGAAATGACATAATGGAATTTATTTCCTGATGCTTCAGCAATAAGACGTCTATCGGAAATTATATGAGGGCCACTAACTCTCTTGTGGCCTCGACGAGGACAAGAAGCCGGCGGCTTGTCGAAGATGTCCCCATTTGTCCTGATGATTTTATCGAGGAGGATTTTAAACTGCAGTGGTGATTTGGCATTTACTGCTTCAGCGGGTAGGCGGTTTCATGGATTAATAACCCTGTGGGTGAAATCTCCTGTTCTCAGTCCTACATTGTGGTTTATCGAGCTTGAAGCCGTTGCTCCTTGTTTGTGTTAAATCTGACTTTTTAAAGAAAGCGAGATTACTGAAATAGAGGGAATACAAAGAACATATACAGCAGGCATAGACACGATGAAGCACCGAAATTATTGAATCGTCTCAAAGTTCTCAAAATGTATTCTCTAGAAAGGACACGAGAGAGGTATCAAATAATAGACACATGGAAAATACTGGAGGGCCAGGTCCCAAATTTACACAGGAAAATAATAACATACTTGAGTGAGCTATATGGAAGGAAATGCAGAATAAAGCCAGCGAAGAGCAGAGGTGCCAGAGACACCATCAGGGAACACTATGAACTTCAGAGGTCCTCAGTTGTTCAACACACTTCCAGCAAGTGTAAGAAATATTGCCAGAAGAAGAGTCTTCCAGAAAAAAATGGACACTTTTTTGCAAGAAGAACTCGACCAACCAGGCTGTGGTGGATATGTGTGTCTGCGGGCCGCTCCAAGCAACAGCCTGTTGAACCAAGCTATCACAAGTTACGCCTGGCCTCAGGCCGGGCATGGAGAGTAGGACTCCGAGAATTTTATTCAGGTACAATATCTGCCAAATTGTTCAGCATTTTAAAGGTTTCGACGGGATGAGCCCTGTCATGTCAGGTTTGTAGTGTTGCTAGCGCTGTGGCCCTCAGTGTGATGGTAAAGCTTCCTCCTTACCTTGCCTGTGTTGGGCCTCACGAGGCTTCCTCCTTACCTTGCCTGTGTTAGGCCTCACGAGGCTTCCTCCTTACCTTGCCTGTGTTGGGCCTCACGAGGCTTCCTCCTTACCTTGCCTGTGTTGGGCCTCACGAGGCTTCCTCCTTACCTTGCCTGTGTTGGGCCTCACGAGGCTTCCTCCTTACCTTGCCTGTGTTGGGCCTCACGAGCCTTCCACCTTACCTTGCCTGTGTTGGCCCTCACGAGGCTTCCTCCTTACCTTGCCTGTGTTGGGCCTCACGAGGCTTCCACCTTACCTTGCCTGTGTTGGGCCTCACGAGGCTTCCTCCTTACCTTGCCTGTGTTGGGCCTCACGAGGCTTCCTCCTTACCTTGCCTGTGTTGGGCCTCACGAGGCTTCCTCCTTACCTTGCCTGTGTTGGGCCTCACGAGGCTTCCTCCTTACCTTGCCTGTGTTGGGCCTCACGAGGCTTCCTCCTTACCTTGCCTGTGTTGGGCCTCACGAGGCTTCCTCCTTACCTTGCCTGTATTAGGCCTCAGGAGGATTATACAGCTGAGTAATGGTCACCCAACTACACAGTGGACATAAGTTCACATGATCATGTACACAGAAGGCTGAGAAATTTAACCCAAGGAATAAGAAACTTGTCTTATGGAGATGTTGAAAACACCGAATTTTACTTTCTCTTAAAAGACTAAAAGTATAAGGTGACATAATTAATGTACATTAATGAATAAAAGAGTATAAAAGAGGACATAGGCTTGATTAATACATCAACACAAAATGTGACTCTAAACATTGGATATATGTATTGAATAAGTTTAAGTTCCAGACAAATCTGGGTCAATACTGGTGTCCGGTCTTGTGGATTTATGCCACAAATTAACAGGTAATATAATAGACGTGGAATTGTTTCCAGCGTAGGTTAGACATATATATAACTGAGTCTGTGTGTATGTAAATAAGAGCTGCCTCTCATGGACTAATATTTTGGCCGTATAGCAGTGTCCATTACTGTGTTATGTGTCCCCCTGGATGTGTTCTTATGTGTCCACCTGGATGTGTCCATTACTGTGTTCTTATGTGTCCACCTGGATGTGTCCATTACTGTGTTCTTATGTGTCCACCTGGATGTGTCCATTACTGTGTTCTTATGTGTCCACCTGGATGTGTCCATTACTGTGTTCTTATGTGTCCACCTGGATGTGTCCATTATTGTGTTCTTATGTGTCCATTACTGTGTTCTTATGTGTCCACCTGGATGTATCCATTACTGTGTTCTTATGTGTCTACCAGAATGTTGAGAAGGATAAGGATCACAGTGGTAGCCACCTGGATGTTGTGAAGGATAAGGATCACAGTGGTAGCCACCTGGATGTTGTGAAGGATAAGGACCACAGTGGTAGCCACCTGGATGTTGTGAAGGATAAGGACCACAGTGGTAGCCACCAGGATGTTGTGAAGGATAAGGATCACATTGGTAGCCACCTGGATGTTGAGAAGGATAAGGATCACAGTGGTAGCCACCTGGATGCTGGAAGAGCCTGGAGCAGCTGGTTCACCACCTGGGTTCTCTTGTACCAGTCCTGGGAGGTGACGACACCGTTGTTCCCATAGTTAGCAGTGTAGTACCACTCTCCCCACACCCCGATGAAGCCGGCCTGCAGCACTGCTATCACTCCAGCATACGTCTGCAACGATACATGCAACACTAACTGTTATCTTCCCAGAAAACGTCTGCATCAGCACATGCAATACTCACTGTTATCAACCTGCAAACACAGCTGACCATTCACTCTACGACGCCTTAACGTACAAGTGTCGGCTAGTGGCACTCCTGCAACAACCTTACCATGCAGGTGTGGGTTAGCGGTGATCCTGCAACAGCCTTACCGTTCAGGTGTGGGCTAGTGGCACTCCTGCAACAGCCTTACCGTGCAGGTGTGGGCTAGTGGCACTCCTGCAACAGCCTTACCATGCAAGTGTGGGCTAGTAACACTCCTGCAACAGCCTTGCCATGCAGGTGTGGGCTAGTGGCACTCCTGCAACAGCTTTACCATGCAGGTGTGGGCTAGTGACACTCCTGCAACAGCCTTACCATGCAGGTGTGAGCTAGTGCCACTCCTGCAACAGCCTTACCGTGCAGGTGTGGGCTAGTGGCGCTCCTGCAACAGCCTTACCATGCAGGTGTGGGCTAGTGGCACTCCTGCAACAGCTTTACCATGCAGGTGTGGGTTAGTGGCACTCCTGCAACAGCCTTACCATGCAGGTGTGGGCTAGTAGCACTCCTCCAACAGCCTTACCATGCAGGTGTGGGCTAGTGCCACTCCTCCAACAGCCTTACCGTGCAGGTGTGGGCTAGTGCCACTCCTCCAACAGCCTTACCGTGCAGGTGTGGGCTAGTGGCACTCCTCCAACAACCTTACCTGTAGGAGAGGTGTTAACTGCTGTATATGGGCCGCCAGTTGAGCGGGCGGGGCGTCGTTGATGTTGCTGGCGTCGAGGGAGTAGCAGAACCTCAGCACCACCTGTAACACCAGTCTCTGTAAACATCTTTATCAAACTATCCGGTTTGCGGAGCCGGTCGGCCGAGCGGACAGCGCACTGGACTTGTGATCCTGTGGTCCCGGGTTCGATCCCGGGCGCCGGCGAGAAACAATGGGCAGAGTTTCTTTCACCCTATGTCCCTGTTACCTACCAGTAAAATAGGTACCTGGGTGTTAGCCAGCTGTCACGGGCTGCTTCCTGGGGGTGGAGGCCTGGTCGAGGACCGGGCCGCGGGGACTCTAAAAAGCCCCGAAATCATCTCAAGATAACCTCAAGATAACTCAACATTGTGGTGAAGGAGAGACAATATCAATTCTTCTTGCAACATCGTGGTCATAGCAGAAGGTAAGAAATGTTGCCTAGTATTTCAACACTTAAAAAATCCACAGAAATAACTACAAAGGAACATCAGACATTGGCTAAACCCTGCACATCCAACACTCAGCCAATTATCAACAGCCAGACAACACTCAGATTCAGTCAACCATCTTCAAGACCGAGACACAAAATTCACCATACTGCTCCAGCAACCATAACAACTAAGGTAGTCAGGAGGATGAAGAAATAATAGAATACTGTAGTTGGATACCAATCAAAGACTAGATAAGGCGGGGTGTTGTATGGTGAGGAATGGTGGTTTATGGTGAGGAATGGTGGTGTGTAGGTTAGGTCTGGTGCTGTATGGTGAGGTCTGATGCTGAATGGTGAGGTCTGGTGCTGTATGGTGAGGTCTGGTGCTGTACTGTGGAGTATGGTGCTGTACGTGAGGTATGGTGGTGAATAATGAGGTCTGGTGGTGTATTGTGAGGTCTGGCGCTGTATAGTGAGGTATAGGGCAGTATATTGAAGTCTGGTGTTGTATGGTGAGCTCTTGTAGTGTATGGTGAGGTCAGGTACTGTATGGTGAGGTCTGGTGCTGTATGGTGAGGTCTGGTGCTGTATAGTGAGATCTGGTGCTTTATCGCGAGGACTGGTGCTTTATCGCGAGGACTGGTGTTGTATGGTGAAATCTGGTGTTGTATGGTGCTGTATGGTGAAATCTGGTGTTGTATGGTGAGGTCTGGTGCTGTATGGTTAAATACGGTGTTGTATGGTGAGGTCTGGTGCTGTATGTTGAAATCTGGTGCTGTATGGTGAGGTCTGATGCTGAATGGTAAGGTCTGGTGGTGTATGGTGAGGTCTGATGCTGAATGGTGAGGTCTGGTGTTGTATGGTGAGGTCTGGTGCTGTATGGTGAGGTCTGGTGCTGTATGGTGAGGTCTGATGCTGAATGGTAAGGTCTGGTGCTGTATGGTGAGGTCTGGTGCTGTATGGTGAGGTCTGAGGGGGGTATGGTAAGGTCTGGTGGTGTATGGTGACATCTGGTAGTGTATGGTGACGTTTGATGGTGTAAGGTGACGTCTGGTGGTGTATGGTGACGTCTGGTGGTGTATGGTGAGCTCTGGTGGTGTATGGTGACGTCTGGTGTATGGTGAGCTCTGGTGGTGTATGATGACGTCTGGTGGTGTATGGTTAGGTCTGGTGGTGTATGGTGACGTCTGGTGGTGTATGATGACGTCTGGTGGTGTATGGTGAGGTCTGGGGCTCTATACCTACTTGACAACTGCTTGATGGGGTTCTGGGAGTTCTTCTACTCCCCAAGCCTTGTCTGAGGCCAGGCTTGACTTATGAAAGTTTGGTCCACCAGGTTGTTGCTTGGAGCGGCCCGCAGGCGCACATACCCACCACGGCCCGGTTGGTCCGGCACATTTTTTAGAAAACAGTCTAGTTTTCTCTTGAATATGTCCATGGTTATTCCAGCAATATTTCTGATAGTCGCTGGGAGGACGTTGAACAACCGCGGACCTCTGATGTTTATACAGTGTTCTCTGATTGTGCCTATGACACCTTTGCTCTTCACTGGTTCTATTCTGCATTTTCTCCCATATCGTTCACTCCAGTACGTTGTTATTTTACTGTGCAGATTTGGAACCTGTCCCCTCCAGTATATTACATGTGTATATAGAATATACACATGGAATATGAATTGACTAGATATATTTGGTATCTCTCTCGTCTCCTTTCTAGTGAGTACATTTGGAGAGCTTTGAGACGATCCCAATAATTTAGGTGCTTTATCGCGTCTATGCGTGCCGTATATGTTCTCTGTACTCCCTTTATTTCAGCAATCTTTCCTGCTCTGAAGGGGGAAGTGAGTACTGAGCAGTACTCATGACGGGACAGCACAAGTGACTTGAAGAGTACAACCATTGTGATGGGATCCCTGGATTTGAAAGTTCTCGGAATTCATCCTATCATTTTTCTGGCTGCTGCAATATTTGCTTGGTTATGCTTTTTAAACGTTAGGTCGTCGGACTTCATTATTCCCAAATCCTTGACATGCTGTTTTCCTACAATGGGCCAGATTCGATTGTGTTTTGTACCCTGTATTATGTTTCAGATCCTCATTTTTGCCGTACCAGAGTACCTAGAATTTATCACTGTTAAACATTATGTTATTTTCTGCTGCCCAATCGAACTTTGTTGATATCTGCTTGTAGTTTTTAAATGTCTTCCGCAAACGTAATTGCCATTCTGATTTTTGTGTCATCTGCAAAGGATGACACGAAGCTGTGACATGAAGCTGTATGGTGAGGTCTGGTGGTGTATGGTGACGTCTGGTGGTGTATGGGGATGTCGGGTGGTGCATGGTGAGGTCTGGGGCTGTATGGTGAGGTCTGGTGCTGTATGGTGAGGTCTAGTGTTGTATCGTGAGGTCTGGTCTTATATGGTGAGGTCTGGGGCTGTATGGTAACGTCTGGTTGTGTGTGGTGAGATCTGGTGGTGTATGGTGAGGTCTGGTGTTGTATGGTGAGGTCTGGTGCTGTATGGTGAGGTCTGGTATTGTATGGTTAGGTCTGGTGCTGTATGGTGAGGTCTGGTGTTGTATGGTGAGGTCTGGGGCTGTATGGTGAGGTCTGGTGTTGTATGGTAAGGTCTGGGGCTGTATGGTAACGTCTGGTTGTGTGTGGTGAGATCTGGTGGTGTATGGTGAGGTCTGGTGCTGTATGGTGAGGTCTGGTGCTGTATGGTGAGGTCTGGTGTTGTATGGTGTGGTCTGGTGCTCTATAGTGAGGTCTGTTGTTGTATGGTGAGGTCTGGGGCTGTATGGTGAGGTCTGGTGTTGTATGGTGAGTTCTGGGTCTATATGATGAGGTCTTGTATTGTGTGGTGAGTTCTGGGTCTATATGGTGAGGTCTGGTGTTGTATGGTGAGTTCTGGGTCTATATGATGAGGTCTGGTGTTGTATGGTGAGTTCTGGGTCTATATGGTGAGGTCTGGTGTTGTATGGTGAGTTCTGGGTCTATATGGTGAGGTCTGGTGTTGTATGGTGAGTTCTGGGTCTATATGATGAGGTCTGGTGTTGTATGGTGAGTTCTGGGTCTATATGATGAGATCTGGTGTTGTATGGTGAGTTCTGGGTCTATATGGTGATATCTGGTGTTGTATGGTGAGTTCTGGGTCTATATGGTGAGGTCTGGTGTTGTATGGTGAGTTCTGGGTCTATATGATGAGGTCTGGTGTTGTGTGGTGAGTTCTGGGTCTATATGGTGAGGTCTGGTGTTATATGGTGAGTTCTGGGTCTATATGATGAGGTCTGGTGTTGTATGGTGAGTTCTGGGTCTATATGGTGAGGTCTGGTGTTGTATGGTGAGTTCTGGGTCTATATGGTGAGGTCTGGTGTTGTATGGTGAGTTCTGGGTCTATATGATGAGGTCTTGTGTTGTATGGTGAGTTCTGGGTCTATATGATGAGATCTGGTGTTGTATGGTGAGTTCTGGGTCTATATGGTGATATCTGGTGTTGTATGGTGAGTTCTGGGTCTATATGGTGAGGTCTGGTGTTGTATGGTGAGTTCTGGGTCTATATGATGAGGTCTGGTGTTGTATGGTGAGTTCTGGGTCTATATGATGAGGTCTGGTGTTGTATGGTGAGTTCTGGGTCTATATGGTGAGGTCTGGTGTTGTATGGTGAGTTCTGGGTCTATATGGTGAGTGTGGGAACCGACCTGTGAGATTTATATTTATTTAATTTATATGAATTTATATTTACGTTAATTTATATACTTCGATAGCAATTGGTATGATGATAAGTGGACTGTATTTCTGCAATAATCTCACAGATCGATCCTCTACACATTAGGGGGGTTTATATTAAATTTATATATATTCAGCCAATCAAACTACAGTATTAACTACACATATTGTTAAACATTGAAGAGGTTCCTTATCTTATTGTACAGCAGGCTTTAGTCCACCAGGTATAACCAGGATGTAGACACCACATTTTCCCTCGTGTGAGGTAGCTTCCATCACCCTGGTAACTGATGCACAAAGCATGCTTCCTCGTCTTGACCTGTCAAAAGGGCGCTAGCTATGAAGCCAGAATCCTAATATATGACAGCTATATCAGAGAAAACACTGTACAAGGAACCATAAAGACCTAGGCTTAATTACCTTTAGTATGAGGCGATATCATATTCTAACCGGTTCACCCTATCTAATGACATTAATGGCCATAAATGATAGATAAATGGGTTTCGGCAGAACACTTAACTTGTATTTGTTGACAGCGTGTTGATGATGGTACACCTTTGGTTTCCATAACACTTCGTCCAAGTAAAATTAACAGGAGCTGAATTGCTCCCGTGCCTCGGGTCTAAGTACAATAACAATGGCTGACCACTCCCTCCTCACTGACACTACTGGTCTAGATTGTCCAGATGACAGTGAGTGATAGAAGGGTCACATTTACTCTATTTTAATTCTGATAATTAAGTTAATTTATATGAGATGTTTTTATGATGGTAAAGTCCAAAGACTAATGTATTATGAATAATTCCCACCATAATAGGTGGTGAATTTATAATATTATGTGGTAATGATATCCCGTTTTCTATAGACGGAAATTCCACTACAAGTTACATTTTTTATGGGTTAAC